CCTTAATAGACGCACCTTGGTATGTTACCAACGAAACCACCCATCGCGACCTCAAGATAATGTAAGAAAATGTAGCGACAGATATAGCAAAAGAGCCCCCTAATCACTGGACTACTCGATACGACGGACCAGATTCGTAGGCTGAAGAGGCACTACCCGCTAGTCCTAAACGCTAGATTCATTTAGTTATCCAAATTAAGCATATGCACTTACTTATAATACTTATAAATTATACCTATCTATAATAAGTATTAACGTATTATAAATAAACAGCCATGTCACTGCGCCATGCCAGAAAAAGTACTGAAAATTCTCGACGCGAGAATTGATTGTAATTTCAACAAATAAATAAAAATAAATACCTGGGCATGACCCTGGACAGGAGGCTAACTTGGAAAAATCACATCATAGACAAAACAAAGCAACTCAAGGACAAACTCAAGAAATTCTATTGGCTCACATATTATATTAAATATTATATTAAATATTATTGGACCACATATAATATCAAATATTATATTAAACACGAAAAATGTAAAGCGCCGACACATATTATAGCATGGCTACGTCGTACCGTTGCGTATCGGTACCTTTGCCTAAAACATCATTACAAAAATTCACCGTTTATTGTGAATACCAAAATGTATTTAAAATTGTATCTTGGGTTTAATAAACATCTTTAAAAAAAAATATTATCACACTTTGTTTACAGACAACTTTGTAAATACATACTTTATACATTTATATCTGTACCAATCTATACATAACTGCTGCAGGAAGCTCTTTTATAAATGGTGCTTTTATAAATTTTTATGAATGCAAATGAGTTTAAGAGGATTTTAACCGTACGTCAGCACATACAGTTTATTTTACGTGTCTCTACATAAATATGTTTTATATTTATATTATAAATACTTAAATTTGTGCATTGTGTTTAATTATGAAACTTCTGTTTCGTATAATTAATAAATAACGATGAAATATAATATAATAATTCATAACACGATGAAATATGTCATATTTCGAACGTGTTTCCCGAGGTATAAAAAATTAACCGTTTAAGTAAGTCGTTAGAATTAAATTTCAATGAACTATTTCAAAAACGACTTGAAAATTATTTTTTCAGAAAATAATTTATTAGCCAAATAAATGGAAAAATGAATAGAAAAATGTAGCAAATGTAAAAATTATTTAAAAGTTGAGATCGTGCGCGGTTATCATTAGTTTGCATTTTGGGCACATTTTGTATACATTATTTTGACCAATTGAAGAAGAAAATAAAGTGCAACATTCCATATATATGAATGGATTCAACGAAAAATATTTCCGGCCATTAGGCAACCGGATACCAGTCTACCCCAACCAACTACTTTTCTTTTTCTTCTTCTAAGATTCTTGTGGATATCTAGGGGGATTTGACATCGATCGAACGGCGATAACATGTACAAGGGAAAGTTATACAGAAGAATGCCCTTAACTACATATTTCAAGTTCATTAAAATCGGTCAGACATTCTCTGATGATAATTAAGGTATTAATATGGAGAACAATTTATGTAACAAAACATTCGCTGACACGTTGAATGAAATATTTAATAAATATTATGTAGGATTTTTTTATTTATTGAGAATGAGTTAAACAGGAAACGATGGTTATTTAACGTGAGCTAAATACAGTAATGTGCTATAACTAAGATAACCAAATAGTTAATTTACAACTCTGTAATTTACAACAAAAATGCATTTCAACAATAAAATTATGTTTATCGATTACAGTGTTTTTACGACATACTAAAACATATGCACTTTGTATTTAATTTATTTATTAAACGAACCTTTACACAAGTAATTGCGTCAATAAAATTAGGTACGTGAATTTACAGTTATAATAATATAAAACATATGTATATATGTATATATGTATATGAAAGTAAATACAGTGCACATATGTATATTGTCTGTTTACTAAACTAATATGTCGGGTTAACATTAGAATTTAAGGCGCGTAACGATTCTTCGTTTGAGTTAGCCATCGTTTTACGAGACAGAGATTATATTTACGCGAATATACAAGATTTTACAAAATATTATGAATATTGAGTTTAATGACTGATAAGATTAACAGACGATAAGTTTAACTAATAATTAGATTAAAGAATAATAAGTTTAACGAACAATAAGAGGAACGAATAATATGTCTTACGAATAATAAATTTAACGAATAATGAGATTAACGATTAATAGGTTTTACCAATAATGAATTTAATTAACACTATTAAGAATGTTCCTAGGTTCAAACGAATCCACGGTCAACGGGATAACTCCTTACTATGCGTAGAATAATTTTAAACACAAAAAAATACGATTGCTGAGACACTCGGGAAACTGCTCGATGTATCACTTTCCAAGGCGATCACACGAATGAATATCTGATGAAAATCTTTTTCGCTGTACGACTGCATTTGTTTGTTATATCCTCGGTGGAGGCATCGAGAAGGTTCCAATCGTCGTTGCTGGGCAATTTCTGCCTGGAGTTTGATTAGTAATACAACGTGTGTCCCATTATATCGACACCTCCGAGGTACAATCCCATGTGACTAGGCCCGTTGTTGAGGCCGTATGCCGCCACAACCACATTTCTAGGGAGAACCATACAACCACTCCACACCTCCTACAATTCTATGTGATTTCTAGGGAGAACAATACAACCGGTCCGCACCTTCGTCAGGCAAAACGTTTATCCCGTGACCGTGGCTACGTTCGGCGACCAGTTGTCACCACTTTCGTTTTCACAAATATCAAACAATTACAAATGCCAATTGCTTAATTACAGTTATGATAAAATCTAGGCTAAAGCATTAGAAGACTTCCTCAAAATTGCAAAGGGAAGGCTCCGGTTTTCCTTTCATCTCCGACAAATATATACAATATTGTTAACTAGTGATTTGAATTGTATAGAGTTTTAACAGTTGAGCAGATTACAGTTGCAATCTAAGGCGTGATCATATCCATTTCCAATTAACTTCAACCAAAAAAAAAAAAGAAATTATAACTATATAAATGAAATACAGATATGTAACAATTTATCTTGCGTATTTTACTTTTTAATTCTTGAAGAATATTTGTATCTTATCCAAATTTTTTACATTATTTTCTAAATTTAATCAGGACTCAAAGGTTTAAAAACAATATAATACAGAGAATATATTTTCATTAAAAACAGAATTTGTGTGTATTTCACTGTAACAAGGTTATGTTTATGAATAGAAAAATTCGGATATGGATGGTTCTACAGAAGTGGGAATTTCTTGCGGTCCTTATATTTCAATACTTTTAAAAATGTTAAATTGTATTATAATTGCACGTAATAGAAGGATAATAAATGTAATTTCATAAACAAATTACGAAGAACTGTCAATTTAATTTAATTATATCCAAAAATTACCCTTTTACACGTGAAATTCTCAATCCCCTGTTAAATAATATGATAAAGTTGTAAAAGAAGTAGCAACCTGAAGCAGCCTGATAAGAGTGTAATATAATATTTATGTTATATTCATGCTTGCGAGTTTGCTCCGGAGCGCCTGGTCGCGATTGCCGGGCCATCATCGAGCTAGTCAATGATGATGAAAAATTCTCAACGCGAGAATTGATTGTAATTTCAACAAATAAAGAAAAAAAAGAAAAGAAAATATTCATGCTTAAAAAATGCTTTACACTGTTTCGGTAAAGTTATGAAGTGTATAATTTATTTATTTTAATTTACAATAAAGAACGCAAGATTGATCATTAGATCGCTTATGTAAGGAATGAATGTTCGCTATTTTTAAATTTAACTGAGATAGCATGATTGTCCTATAAAATCTAAATAAATAAATAAAAAAAAAGTGCACGATTGCGAACAACTTTCTTCTTTAACTGTCTAAGAAATCTATCTATATCAGTAGAATAAATTCTGTTTAGAAAATACATATCATATAATTATACAATGACTCATTGAAATCTAGCTTTTACTTTTTGTTAATAGTATGGTAAGAAAATACGAAGTTCGAACGCTCGTAGCGATTGCCTGGGTTACGTCATCCTTTGTTCTAGGAAAAGATAGCGATGCTCAAGGGTGTAGCGGACTTCCGATGTCTTTCACAGCTGCGACGCCAAGCATTTTTTTTTTATTTATTTGTTAAAATTGATTGTAATTTTAACAAATAAATAAAAAAAAAGAATATCATGTAAAATTCGTGATAAAAAAAGGAAGAGCTGACCAATAGCTTAACCTGATTGTCCTTTTATATTTTTATATATTTTATATTTTTAGTCACAAAAGTGGTAAAGCACAATATTACAATGAAGCAGCGAAGTTACAAAGTATTAAAATATTTGTTTAAATCGCGGCCAAGACTAGTCTCGTGGTCAACGCACATTTTTCTCAACATGTCCCAATTCATCACATTTGGGACATCTTACTTGTCGCTTAGCTTAAACGTTCCGTTTTAGAAAACGGTGAAACGCGTTTGTTGACTGGATTATTGTTAGGTGTGGTAGGTAATGGTCGGTCACTTGCTGTTGGTCGAGAATCTGTCCTCCATCCCTTTTCTTCTTCTTGTAGGTATCTTTCAACGTCTACGGCTTTTTTTTCTATTGTGTACAACGAATCTAGTTTACCAGCTAACAGTATGCGTCCTATGTCGCGTCGAAGTCCTTTTAAATAAATTCGACTTACTTTCCTCATGGTGGCTTCAATCATTATTCGTCTTGTAATTGGTTGTAGATTTTCACTAATTATTGCATATATAAGTCTATTCAATATGCAGCGGAATCGGATATTGAAACTTTGAACAGATTCGTGGCGTCCCTGTTTCAAATCGCGTAATTGTTCTTCGTATTCGTCAGATGTTACATCAACTACTACGTTGGATCTCAAAGTGTTATATAAATCTTCATAATTTCCAATAGGTATGTGTCGAATACAGCGCGCGGCTTTACCGACTATCTTATCGATTTTTATGGCTTTCAATAACAAATCCTTTTGTGAACAACACATTCGCATAGCATGTACTTCTTTTATGAACTCTTCCACTCCAACATCATCGTCACCGTTTAAAGTTGGTATAAATCTTATTGCATCTTCCGCTGATAACATAATCTGGCGTTGTGGTTCGTTGTAGTATTGGTCTCCGCCATTGTTATCGCTTTTAGGATCAAATATCGTTTCGGGTGTGCTCGCTGCAGGTATACGATCCTTCTTTCTCGATTTCACGGTTTTCTTTGTGGTCTTCGTGACAGATTTAGAATTTTTGGACTTAATTATTTTTTTATTTGTAAGAACCAGCTTTATTTCGGCAACTGCTTGTTTTAGCAGTTTGATTTCTTTAGCGCGGCGTTCATTCTCTTCCCTTGCTTGTTGTGCTAATATTTGGATCTGTTCTTGAATTTCGGTGTGTTTCTGTATCGCTTGTAGTACTTGCCGTAGACTAATGTTGATATCTTTATATGATAAGTCATACATTTTTTTTCTTTTCTTATTTTTTTTTCCCCGAAAATTGCTACTTAGTCTGAGTTTTGGTTGGCAAAAGAATCAAGCTTTACCTTGATATCCGTAGAAATGGAACTTCCGTAGAATATCCGTTCAGATTGCGAGTATCAACTATTGCGAATATCAACTTCAGATTGCGAGTTTATCGTTGATGATGACACGTAATCCAAGTTAAGTCCGTTTCACGTAGGTAGAATGTCTTGTTTTCCTAACGAGCACTTATCACTATTGCTTAACTTGATATTTAATTTCACTTTTATATTTTGATATGCTTTTACTCACAAAAATGATTAAATGCAATATTACAATGAAGTAGCGAAGTTACAAAGTATCAGAACAGTTCAAGTCACGGCCAAGGCTCTATCCAAGACTAGTTTAGTGGTCGAATGCTCGTAGTTTTTATATGAGCGGAGCTTGAAAAAGTTGAGGGGCGAGGAGAGGACCACGAGTGCCCTACGTGATGGGGAGTTTGGTTTGGGCCATGTGTCCAAAGGCCAGGTTAAAATCTAACGGTTCATTGTCAGTAGCGTGGAATGGTATGGATTTACGTATAGTCGATGTCACACGGGCACTCGGTTCTTCTTTGTACAATTGTCAACGTGGAGGAGCGTCAAAGCAAAACCACGCAAATTCTGCATTTCCCATAATATACAAGACTGCTTTGAATTCGTTCGATCGATTCCTAACAATATCTATAAACAGTGAACTTAAGGCCCCATTCACAACTACATACACTAGATTGTAAGAAATATTTGTTGTATATGTATGTAGCGGCACATGAGTCATAGGACGATTCGAATCGAGAGTGACTTGTGTTATTGTTTTGCCTCGGAGTATTAACACCGTTTCGATGTATGAGATTAAATAGTAAACAAACTCCAGACAAAATAATATGGCCGCTACGTGCAATCATCAACCGGAATCGAATTCAAACTTCTCCTCTGATCAATATAAATAGGCGAGTATGCGCTCTAGAACATTCATTAACCAGTGTCATTATGGCGAGTAGCATTGAGCAAACGACGATTACAACGTAATATACTTTCTTTTTAAATATTTATTAAAATTACAATCACTTCTCGCGTTGAGAATTTTCATAGTTTTTCTGGCGTGGCGCAGTAACATGGCTAATTATTTATAAATAGTTATTACTTACTATAGATAAGTATAATGCGTAATATACTAACTCTGTATTTTGTACTTTTTTTTTATTTGGTAGACTATTTACAATCAATTCTCGTTGAGAATTATAAGTAAATTCTTTTGGCGTGGTACTGTAGAATTATAAGTAAATTCTTTTGGCGCAATTCTCGTTGAGAATTATAAGTAAATTCTTTTGGCGTGGTACTGTAACTTGGATTATAATAATTTATAATATGTTTGATTCTAGTTGGATCTAATGGTATTCTGTACTTAGAGCGATTTTTAATATATCTGACTATCACGAGTATTCACTCGTCTCGTCATTAAATAAATCAACACGTTTGACATCCGCTTCAGCTCATTTGAAAGCCATTTGCATAAATTGGAACCGCCGACCTTGCACAAATCGCTTGTTATTGTTTTAGTAGGGCCCACTTGTTAGAGTAGTCAGTAGAGAAAATGTCGTCCATGTATATTTATTCTAGATCCCACAAAGGACATAACCTAACAAACACGATGATGGTACCCCGCTGGGGGTAGCCACCCAATGTTATATTAGTATACCGCTATAATATTTTACCAAATGTCCTACTGGACAAATTGTAAAATTTGAATAAATAAAAAACAAAAAAAAATGTATATTTATTTCTCTAATACTTATAAATTATACCTATCTATAATAAGTATTAACTTATTGTAAATAAACAGCCATGTCACTGCGCCACACCAGGAAAATTACTGAAAATTCTCAACGCGAGAATTGATTGTAATTTCAACAAATAAATAAAAAAAAAAAATTTAATTCTCTAGAATTGCTGCTCTTAGAGGAAACATTGTTTTCGTCTGCAGTTAACTTTTTTATTACTTTATTGACTAAAAATGAACTACTATTAGTCCTATATGTAATTATATATGTATATGCATATGTCGGGTGTACATTAGAATTAGGGTTAGGGGCGTAAAGCGAATCTTCGTTTGGATTACACGTCGTCGTTATGCAATAGAGAAGACATTGGCTAGACAGAGACTAATGACAATGATCCTAGGTTCAATAACGAATCCGCGGACAACGGGACGGTAGTCGTACGCACTCGCAAAATCTAAGTCGGATTCTGTGTTAATATTCGCTGACCGTAAGGAGTCAATCCTTTTTTGTCGATGAGACCGCAAGAGAGAATGACTTTCCGTCCCGGTGATACCCCAGAGGAAAACTATAACGGGGTGTGTCTAAGGACACGAGATCATCGGATTCGTCGGGGACATCCTACGTTCGGAAAATAAGGGAAATTGACGTTGCTGCTAATTGGCCAATCTCCATATCGGTAGTTAGAAAAGGATGCTAGCTGCCCT